AGCTAGTTGGTATACATTGCACCAGAGCTTCGTTTGCCATTCCGTAGGAAATAATTTTAGTTCAATGCCGCCTAATAAACTGTATGTAGAACACATATAGATACGAAATCCGAAGTGATTAATAGTGTTGTGCATCCCCCGTCAGTATGCAATTGATCCTATATGAACGCTTGGAGCGACACTACTTAGTATAGGTATAAATGGTTGTAGAATCTTACAATTTGTGGGCTGCCTTGCCAAAGAGGTGCAAGTGTCAAAGTGCATCAACGCGTGATGCGTTCTTTTAACAAACACTCAGTCAAGAAAAAAACCGAGTACCAAAGTCACGTGGTAGTGCCCGTAACTCTCACGAGGTTGCACAACACTATTTCCATAGTTAACGAGAAAAAGTCCTCGTCCCCAAACCCCTTAACACGTTTACACCTCTAAGGATATTTTGAAGGGCATATAACTGCCAACATTGCACCTCGAGGAAGGGGAATAAACCCCTTTCGAAGTTCAGCGCCATCTAGTGGCTAAAAAAGCAGTTTCACTTTTGATGTAAAAACTAGTGGAGCTGATGAACCTGTATTTGATTGGGCACCGCCACCTTGACACTTGAATGGCAGATGACCATCGGTTCTTAGATCACCTTATAATTCTTGATTTTCTTTTTTTTTTTTCAGTTTCGATGTAACCATAAGAACTGACCAGTGCGAAACGGTGACCCACAAGCCTTTTGATTGCGTTTAAGCAATGAAAAGGATTTACAGTCAAACTTGTGCCACGAAGTAGCTTGAACCGAACTCCCAAATAAAAGTTTACGAAGCCGTTGTTGATAATTCGTGAGTCCTGTTCTACTGATGTCTCGAATGTGTGGGCATCATATCTCCTCTGCTTGGTATAGTAGCTTCAACTTCTTTCGTTATCGTCCACAAAAAGGTCACCATTCGTTTCAAACAGATGCCGTATACACTGAGATGACGATAGTAATCAAAGTTAACATACTGAATTTAAAGAAAGGGTCTCAGAGAAAGTTGAAAGACCCGTAACATGAGCACTGTATCCATCATTACACTCTGAAATATTCGGTTGTACGGGAAGCTGGAACATTATAGCACTTAAAAAAAGGAGTGCTCTGCTCTTCCAATTTTAGAAATATTTTGTCTCGTCCACGAATGTCCTCCACACGTATACGATGACACATACAGTCTGCATGTATCACGCACCTCATGCATTTCTGGAATAGAAACAGCAAATACAAGCGCAATCGCGACCGCGTTGACTGTTTCCCCGCATACCCGCGACAATTGACTGACAATCGCTTAACCGAGGAACACTTCCGCAAGTAATAAGATTTTCAAGTGTGTTGGGTTTTTCTCGCCAATATTCAACGCGAAATATAATTTCTCGAGCTACATATGAACTGCTTAGTAGAAAGCATCGGTACAGGCGAAAATCGTTGAACGCAGTCGTTGAAATAGCATCGGAAAGCGGTGGCATTATGACGGCTAGTTTTATTCAACACATCGCTCGCGTACAACGTTAAATATTTTAGGTGTATAAAATGAGGGTTTTGGACCACTGCATAATCGTCGCATCGTCGCGGTGTCTCTAGTTTTCGCACACGGGAAACTCGTCTCTCAAGCACGTATCTACAGGGCGGAGATATCTTACCTACCAGGTCCGCGGATCAGAAAAATGTGCGTATCACGTGACCTTGACGTCATAACGAAAAAGTCCGCAGGTCCGCGGTAAGCCCGCGGACCTGGCGCTAGATCCCACGGTTACCCTGGACCGAAGTGAGGACACGGGAGTTTGCGAGCGTCGGTTGCCGCTTTCGCTGCACTTACTACTAAACAAGACGAGCACCTCTCAAAGTTATGACCTAGTGCCCGTATCCTTCGCTGCATTCCAGGCTAGGAGGGAACCATCACGCAACACACGTGACGCTCGATTTGCATCCATTCAGGCTTCGGCCATTCCGCCAGTGAAGGAGACAAAGATGAAAGGCCCAACAATGACGGCGTTCCTTTTTTTTTTTTATAATTTTCCTTACGAAAGAATTTCTACAACTGCGGCACCTCCAATACTATCAGTAGCGAAACCACAACATATAATTCCAACTGTAGCCTCGGCGAAGGAGTGTATCGGCACTCCTGCCGGTGTACACATGGCGGGTGGGTTCATTGGACGCTGGCTGATTCACGTGAACCGCGCAGCTCTTTTTGCTCGCTCATATTCGTATAATATTTCGGAAAAGGTGAGACGTTTCGATATGAAATATAATATTAAAGCGGCGCATCTTCAGGCTAGAGACGAGAAAGGTACAAAAGGAAAAATGGCAGAGTTGCCGAGGACGAGATACGGTATATGAGTTTGCCGCATGGCTCCAGTTCGTATAGGGCGCAGCAAGCACGCGCTGCACAGCCCGGGCATGCACAGAAATCTACCAAAAAGGTGAGAATCCTCATGACGTGAGCAACCCAAATGTAATATACTGGCTCCTTGTTTTACGTTGACGAATGTTCATCCTCTCTTTCAACTGATGGAATCCATTGACTCATGTGCAAAACAAGGCGCCGAGTGAAGCTGCTAACTTTATGGTAAATGTCAGCCACACTCATGTACACTCATAAATGTTGACTCGGGGAATAGATAGCCTTAATTACGAGAAGGAAAAGCACTTAGCAGCTGGTTTGGTGGAATAACTGACGGGAAGGGGCTCACGTTAATTAAGAAGGCACTAACCTTTGAAATTCTGTTTTCTTTAGAGCTGGACAGCGAAACAAAGTGGGGATTTGTTGTGGCTGATGCGACAGCATCCTGCATGCATTTACACGCCTTCAGCACAGACATTGTGTGCAGCGACAGGCCCGGGTTCGGTGCCATCAGGCTCTCCAGGCATGCCCCGAAAACGCGACAACAAAAGAAGCGTTCAATACATTACCGAACGCTTCGCGGTAAACAGTTTTTGACAATGTGGTCAATGATTTTGGAGAAATAGTTGCGGACCACATCCGAAAATTAAACGAGAGACGTTTTATTCGGTGTTACATTGAAGTGTGTAACTAATTGAACGTCACCTACCATTCGAAAATAAATAGCTACAGATATTATATTGTCTAAATTCTAATGTTCCGTAAGTTATAAACATGTACAGGAACAGAAGTTATCAATCTACAAAGTCAATCAGCTTTCACGGCATTTTTTTTTTTTCTTAAACACATTTAACGTGTTTCCTAGGTAGCATATGCCCGTTTAACTTATAAGCGAGTTAAATCATATTCATCTGCTTTTCTTTTCTCGAAATAAAATGTATATATGGGAACCTTTCACTATCTCTTTTGATGGCCAAGAGTGACCCCACGATTCCGCATTTTAGTATTGGCGCTCACTTTTACATCTGACTATGATGTGCATATCCTAAACGTATCACGATATCGCTGGGGGGATTTTTAAAAGAACTACTTTCGCCTTCCGTATTTAATACATTTTGAATGGATGCTTGTTTTCGTCAAAGTTCTCGTTCCCAGTACCCAATCCCAAGTCCCATTCTTCTTAAATGACAACGTTCGAAAGGCGCGCTGTACCTTCCCGCACCATCAACGCGGTCTATAATAGCATGTATAGGGTATCCGGATCGGTATGTAGTTGTTGGCTTCATTCGGGGGAGGGGGGGGGGGGGGGGGTATTTGACCGCTCACACGCCTCGGACGGTCACCTACAGATTGTCTTTTGCATGATACATGTGTGACAGTGTCACCAAGGCTTCAAACGTTTCTTTCCGTTTTTTTTTTTTTTGTGCCGTATCTTATGAGCCGAGGGAGAGGAAGCAAGATATTACGCGATGAGTGTAATCCGACAGGCGTTTTCTGCGGATGCGAATTCACGCAGACTCGATTTCTCGCAGTGAATCGTTGATCCTCTTCACTCGAAGGAAAAATCCGCGTCTCTGGGAATCACAAATCGGCGTAACTCCTTTTTTTTTTGTTTTATTGTTGTTTCTTGTTCTTTCTTTTTACGACGAAAACTTTATCTTTAGTTTCCCGGTTAATATTGCCGGTACCAATCCGCGAGTGTAAATATGGCGACAGAATGCAGGTACATGGAACAAGTGAGTCGCTCAGTCGGTTGCCTCGACATTGTTACGAGGCGATTGATGTGTACAATTGGTCACCAGCCATTTGAGGCTTCCGAATTAGAGCCCGCCCCCCGTTCCCATGGACGTGGTCACAAAACAACCTAAATCCCACCCTCTCCTTTTTTTTTTGGAGCCTGTTTTTTCTTTTTATTATTATTATTGTGGCTACACCGGAAATTTTCGAGATCACGATGTTCACGTCAGAAACGTATGGGTAGCTTTATTGCCACTTGTCGCACTGCCAGTCTCAGTAGCTCGGCATTGTGGCCAGACGTGGCGAAGCCACGTAATGGTGGCTCAGGTTTGACACGCCATAAAATACTGAATACAGCGAATGTTTTTTTCTTTTTTTTTTTTTGGCGCAACACAATGTTCACTTTTCTATACTTTCTTTAAAGAATGGCATTCTGTTTGTTACTTATAATTGTTGTTTTTTCTCTCTTAAATTGCGCTTTCTTGTGATGGCTGGCGACCCAACTCGTCTATTTCTAGTCTGATTCAGGCCTACAATGGGAATGCAAAGCATAGGAAAGGCGGCAGGCATTTGTATTTAAGTACATCTCCTATAGTTCCGATTGAAATATGCGTGAATATGGCATACGCACACCACAAGCGCCGTCTCGATTTGGAACTGCGCGAAAGAGCGAGGAAAAAGAAAGCAAATAAAAGGGGATCTAAAAAGAAGCGGCGCCGAGTCGAAGAGAAGCCAAGTGGAGTGTGGCATTGACTTTGAACATTCCAGCCAAGCGGCGGGCGTGAGCGCTAGGTATCCGCGGCCTTCCGGTTTCGGTGGCGCTGGCGGCGGGGGTCTCCCCCCGACGCCCAACGAGGCACAACAGCCAAAAGGCGAGAAGAGGCACGCCGGAGGCGGACTCACCGTTGCAACGTACGGTCGGCGCGATGTGTCTGCTGGGGCAGGCTTGCTTCCGGCGTGACATGCTCGGCGGGCCAGACCGAATCACAGCTGCTCATCATGCCGCGACACGAGCAGGGGCGGGGGGCGGCCGGAGCCCCAGCGGGGGCGCACGCAGGCGACCGCGGCACACTGGCTCCCGTCGGAGGCCTCCACGGCGCGTTCGGGCCACGGGCGCGCCTTCACACGGCCGGCACCGCTTCACTGGGGCCGCCGACGCGGGCGACGGGCGTTCGGCAACGCCATAGGGTCCGACTCGGGCGTCCGCTGGGCACGCAGACTGCTCCGTCCGCTGGCGCGACTCGCCGCGACTGACGACCGGAACGGGGCCCGCGCGGCGGCGGCGGTGCGCGGCGGCGACGTCGGGGCAACGCCGGCCCACGGGGGGCGCGAGGGAGGCGCGGCCTCAGCGCCGCCCCGTGGAAGACCCCCGAACCGAGGCGACCACCCCCCCGCCGCCCGTCATAACCGCGCCCAGCGCATTGGACGGGCCGAGCCCTTTGACGCCTGCGCTGTGACGCGGGCACGCCGAACGCCCCGCCGGCCGCTCGATGCGCGGTCGCCCCGGAACCGCGGACGCCGCACCGCACGCGCCGGCCGCCGCGTGCAGGCGCGCGCCGTCCCACACCCCGGACGCAAAACCAAACCAACAACGCTAAAAGGGGGAGGGGGGCTCAAGATCATTCCGTTCGGGGCGTAATAGAGACGTGTAAATGGGTGTAACATCCAACTTACCCTAAACTGGAAGGATGAAGCGGCATTTCTGTGCCCAGTGCCTGCGAGGTAGTCCGTCAAAAACTCTTTCAGTATGCACGAGTAGTGCTCGCACTGGCTGTGTTCGAGTCTCACCATGGCGACACACGATCTGTACAGTGTAGTTCACAAACCAGTAAACGGGTGTATAGTGTAAAGCACCATTTCCTCTTCAGAGGAGTGTACACAGTACCATCACATTCCCAAAGGTGCGCATCATACTCCTTGCCAGAGTGGACGGTACTGCGTACACGCCTGCACCCCTACGAGAAAGTGAATGGTACTGCGTAAACTCATCCGAAGAGGAAATTGTGAATATATGTTTTGCCATTCACACTCAATAAGGGGTGTGTAACTTTACACAAGGGGTGTGTGCCGTGTCCTTCACGCTCGCGAAGTGGTGTATGCAGCATCTTTCACAATCCTGGCGGTGTGTATGCATTTGCACTTCAGAAGTTGCGTGAGCGTTCACTCTTCCAAACGTCAGTAGTATACATAGTTCTTACGTTCCCAACGTGCTCTATGCGGTGGAGTTCACTCCCCTGAAGGAAGTCATGGGCTTACTTTCTCGAAGGGGTGTACGCGTTCATTCCTCCAAAAGGGTGCATGTAGTGTCCTTCACTCTTTCGAAGTGGTGCGCGCAGTGTCGTTCGCTCCTCAAAGTGTGTATGTGTTTACTCTTCCGAAGGGGTGTATTCAGTGATCTTCCCCCTCACAACGTGGTTCATACAGTGCCGTTCACACTCCTGAAGGGGTGTATGAATTTACTTATACACAGGAGGGCGTTGTGCAGTTTCATTGAACCTCCCAGAGTGGTGTATGCAGCGTCGTTCCAAATCATGATGGTGCGTATGCATTTCCACTCCCGAGGAGGAGTTAGCATTCATACTCCGGAAAGGGTGTATCAGAGTCCTTACCATTCCAACGTGTTGTACGCACTGCAGTTCACTCTCCTGAATGCACGTGTGTGTTTACTGTACACTCTACAGAAGGATGGCCGTAGCGTTTTTTACTCTCCACGGGTAGTGGATGTAGTGCCGTTCACACTCCTGAAGGGGTATATGCAATGCTCTTCAGCATCAGAAAGTGGCATATGCAACGCCGTTCACACCCCGGAGGTGGTGTGTGCAGTGCCCTTCACCCTTGCAGAACGGTGTGTGCAGTGTCGTTTGTACTCCCCTCCCCGAAGGGCATATACAGTCCTTTACTCTCCCAAAGTAATGGGCAGTGCGGTTCACACTTACGAAGGTGTGTATGCTGTGCCATTCACCCTCTCGAGATGTATGCAGTGCTGCTCATTCTCCTGAAAGAACGTACCCATTTATTTTCCCAAGGGATGTATGAAGTGTCCTTCAGCCTACCAAAGGGTGGTATGCAGTGTCGTTTATGTGTTTGCTCTCCCGAAGTGATGCATGCATTTACTCTCTCAAAGGGGTATATACAGTATCCTTTACCCACCCAAAGGGGTGTTTACAGTGCCATTCGCTCTCCCGAAAAGGTGCATGCAGTGCCCTTCATTTTCTCAGAGGGATGTATGCAGCGTCGCTCACTCTTCACGAGGGGGGTATGCATCTACTCTCTGTAATGTGCGCTTCCAGAGTACTTTACCCTTCTAAAGTGGTGTATTCAGTGCTGTTCAGGCTTCTGAAGTGGTGTACGTAGTGTCTTTCGTCCTTGCAAAATAATGTATGTGTGCAGTGCTTTTCACCCTCCCAAGCTATGTATGCCGGGTCCTTCACCCACCCACGGTGTTTTATGCACCGCACTTCACTTTCTCGAAGGGGTGTATGCGGCGTCCTTTACCCTCTCAAAGGTGTGAATGCGGAGGCGCTCATTCTCTCGGAAGAGCGTATGCGTTTACTCTCCCAAAGGGGTGCGTGCGTTCACTCTCCCGATAGGTTGTATACGGTGTCCTTCACCCTTTCAAAGTGTCGAATGTAATATAGAGCCGCATACTTTCCCGAAGGAGTGCCTACTCTTAGAATAACGTCGTAGCACTTACTAACCACAGGTGAATAACAGCTTGTCACATCTTACTAACTTAGTAACTGCGGTTAGCAAAGGGAGTGTCCGTAACAGTTACTAACCAAGAAAGTTAGAAACGTGAACTAGCCTCATTTACAAAACCTAGCAGAAACCACTAGATCAGTGGCGTCGGAAAGGCAGGGGGGCGGGGGGGGGGGGGGGGGCACTCGCTTGGATGTTTGAGAAATTTAATGTAAACAATTCGAAAGGAGGGGCAAAAGGCGCTTCTTCCCTTCTCCCTTGGCTATCTTCCGAATAGTTTCGACGGTTCTGAGTATAATAATATAGAAACGGATACTAATTGCCGCAAAACCTACCCGCCGCCTCGCTGTTGCGGCTAGCTATTGCCCAGTTCAAAGGCTGCATAAATGGTTGCATTGCTCATGCGCTTAGCATTGCATCTGATACACTGCGTATTGCGCGCACATCCCACACGTCATCAATCGATCGAACGCATCGCCTATAGGGTTTACTGCAGCACCTAAATTACCATAGGCCCGCTATACTGGCGGATTCTTACAGTAGGCGCGTGCCAATTTTCAGAATATTTTTTTTTTGAGCAACATATATTATTCGATTTCATTGCCTTGCGAAACACTGACGGCACTCGGAAGTTTTGGAATACTTATCAGGACTCGTGGTCTATTCGGGCGAGTTATTTAGCTTCAACCCTTCTAAGTGCGCACTTACGCACTGCAGTGAAGCGAGTTGCGCAGAGTAGACAACGCGGTTCTGCTTGACCTGTTTCACCGCAGCTCCCCCGCGTGCAGAGGGAAAAACACCCCAGATCGGAATGGTGCTCACGGTCGTGTCGATTTCTTAAAGAAAGAAAGAAGAAAAGTAGAAAAAGGTTGTGAATGTTGATGTGACAAGCTATACTTTTCAGATAAATTGCTTTAAAATAAAAATCAAATGGCGGCTATATATGAAACACTGCGACAACGTATATGCAGGATTTAGGGAAGGATACTTAGGTATTGTGAGAGGGCTACGCTCTAGGTTTATTTTTATTTCACAGTTATAATTTAGTGGCAATCTTTATCTAGGATTCCACCTATTCAATGGACGCAGTGGACAGGGTACATTAAAACTAAAATATTACGAGTGGTGGAATGAAACCTTGGAAATATGACCTAAGCGATTTTGGCCCGATTTTTTTTCTACCTTTTACAAAGCATCATTTTGGTACTCTGAATCATTATATTCTGCTATTTATGTATATCCTTTTGATTATACGCCTAAAATGAACATTCCCGGTTTATTTTACCTCAGGAAGGTAAAGGGAGCATTGTTTCTTCATTTCATTTTGTGGAAGTGCAACATTTAGTGTTGTCGTCCATTTGTCGCGCTTTGTTGTGAATTACAATTTAAGTGATTAGCCCTTACCTTAGACAGGTGACTGGCAATATTAGAAAATAGACTAATACGAAATACTAATGAAATTTACTAGGATACCTGTGGTGAAATGAAGGAGAATCAAGTGTATGCTCCCTCTCTAAAAGTTTTTTTCTAGCTGCTCCGACCGTGAGTCGGTCGATTGTTCTTCCGCTTCTCATACCCGGCATTTTTAGCGCACGCCCTTCCTCAATGATAACCTCAGCAATAATTTTTGTTTCGACAAGAATGCCTTTTTACTAGCGTAATTTCTCAAAAAGTTTAATTGGAATAGCTAAAGAGGCTAATTTTTAGTAAAAATAAATCATTCACGCTGGAGTTATTTGTGATAGTCGATATAACTACCGGCTCCTCTGCGCTTTATAGTCCTATCTTTCACTTCTCATGCATAGCCCAGCAGCAGCCAACCCGGCGAAATCGAGGGCACCTAGCGCAGGGGCGGATTTAGGGGGGGGGGGGCGGGGGGGGGCGGCGGCCGCCCCCCCCCCCAAGACAATTCTGAATTTTTTTTTTTTTTTTTTTAGTATTTGGTTTTGGTCAAGTAGCGATTATTTGGTCAGCAAACTAGATCTGTGCTACCGACGCAGGACAGTAGATTCGGCCTTCTGTTTTTCCTTGGCAACGTCTTTGTTATTTAATAAAAAAAATGGAGAGACAGGAGTGGACAAGTTTACCAGACGCGAAATGTACCGGCGAAGGGAAAGCGGTGTTTGTTCAAAGTTCAGAACCTAAGATAGCAGCTTTGCGGCGCGGGCTCGTCCAAAGCGTCTCTCCACCCTGTACGAAGGCGGCGGCTTTGGTATCGAGGCTCCCTCCTCCCTCCGTCCCTCTGTAGAGCCATCCTGTGCCGCTGAATTGGCACCACTGGTTGAAAGGCGAAGAGAGGCGGGAAAAGTCCACTATTACCGCAAGACTCGGATAAAGGGGTGGAGGGGAGGTTGTTCGGTGTCGACGCCCAGCCATGTCTCTCGGGTAGCATGGTCATCTCGCTGGCGTCCAGCCTTTCTCACTTCATAGCAAAATATGTGATCGAAGACGACCATCTCCCGAACAATCGGACCTGAAGACGACGATTATCCCCCCACTTTGGAATCCTGCGAATGGGGATGGGAAACATCTCCAAGGTCTTCAATTGGCTGCTGGACGCTCCCTGGATTGTTTCCCCGCAGACAGCCGGCTCCGTTTAATCTCCCCTCCCGCCACCGTGGCGGATAAG